TATATATATATATATATATACACATACATACATACATACATACACACATACTCCCTCCCATCCCCTTCCACATCATTAGTTCATTGAATTTTATAAACTGGCATTGAAACATTACAAAGATATCTCATTAAACACATTTTGAACTTTTACAGTGCAACACATGTTAGTTTCTGAGGCGAATCGAAGGTAAATTTCACAAGGTTCTTGCTTCCTTCTTAAGCAACACTTGATGAAGGGTCTGTCAAACATTGGTAGTAGATGAAAATAGACCCAAAGCCTTTTTTTTCCTCCTCTATCTTAAACCATTGACCAAGTGTTTGATCCAAATTGCACAGGATAAGTTAAACTTAAATTGCATTCTATTAACCAATATGAGTGTATTTCCATAAGCATAGTTACACTGAAATAAGGTTTTAAAATGCAACAAACAAGCAAAATATGGTAAGTATCTGAAGGCTTCTGAAAGTACAACTTGGTTTGAAACTATCTTTTTCGTACAACTTAAGCAGAGACCTCTAACTCAGTAAGAAGGAAGAAGCATAGTAATTATAATTATTTTTTTAAAAAGAATGCCTTTGACAGAGAAAGCCAAAGAGCTATGAGTTTAAATTTTTTTCTCATTAGATTCTGGAAAATGAATACATTGAAGGCCAGGAAGTAGATTCTGAGGAAGCCTCATATCTTATAGTGATAAATTGAAGGGTAAATTAAAAATGATAAATTAATGAGCCCTCAAAATTATTCCACTAAATAATTCCAATATATGTTAACCTATTCATTGTGAGGTTTCTCCCAGCTTTAATCCTCAAAACAAACTTTTTTCATGTGCCTGTCTAGACACTGCCTAACTTATTACCAGGAAAAGACAAGTAAACCATGTAAAGGGTTGGGGTACGGTAGACTTTCCTCATCTGCGCATAACCACGCGGTCATGAACATGAGAAACTCTATTTCCTGTCTGGGTGAATTTAGGAACTACGCGTACACACCACCAGGCACTGAGACGCCTGTACTTAAGGGAGGAGGAAACACATCTGAGTAGGGAACACAGGCCACATGCTGCTCTCCAGCCTGCTGTGGGTGACAGTGGCCTTCACCTGCTCTGGTATGGAGGGTTCCAAACATGGGTAAGACTGCAGGGGGTGAAAGGAGGAAAGGACTGCACACAGTAGTTAGGTGCTTTGGAAGGACTCAGTGAGGAAAGGGGGGCTAAAGAAAAGCAAGTATAGTATGACTACAGTTTGGTTTGTCTTTGGGTCCACATTAGTTAAATTCTTACACTATTTATTTGTTACATCAGAGAATCAGCTCTGGTTTCTGATTTTCTTTTCTCTACAGGACCCAGTGTGGCCCAGAAAGTTGTTCAAATCCAGTCGGCTGTATCCAGGCCAGCAGGGACGGCAGTCACCCTGGAGTGTGCTTATGAGACCAGCCAGAGTTCTTACTTTCTTTACTGGTACAAGCAACTTCCTAGTGGAGAGATCGTTTTCCTCATTAGTCAGAGTTCTTATAGCCAGACTGGAAACAACGATCGCTACTCTGTCACCTTACGGAACTTAGCTAAATCCATCAGCCTCACCATTTCATCCTTGCAACTGGAGGATTCAGCGAAGTATTTCTGTGCTCTCTGGGAACTCACAGTGTTTGAAGTGATAGTAAAAGCTGAACAAAAACCCCAGAGCTAAATAAGAGAAACCAGCTTCCCTGCTGCAGGAGCCCAGCTGAGGTGCACACCTGCAGATCCCAGACAAGAAGTAGTGACTCTGGTTGCTTAATCTGTGGTCTGGATCAGAAGTTTAATTCTACGTAAAACCTTCTATTTCACTTGGAAACAGGTGTCCATGGCAACTTTCTTGTAGTACAGTCTCAGTCTTGAAGTTTTCATTTAAAATAAGTCATACAGAACATGTATAAAAGTGCTAAGTTGAAAACATTTGTCCCACAATATTTTAAAATGTCAATTTCACTTAAAGATGCTCACATCACAAATCTGAATCTAACTGTCTGGAATTGCCATAAAAACCATTTCCCTTGACCTTTTCCCTTAGGTTTCATACATGTTAGGTGTCAGAGAAGCAGAACCCCTGTGAGCGGTATAGAATTGGAGATTAATTATGAGCTTTAGATCTTACAGTTGTTGGAGCTGGTGGAGGCATCTGTGCAAAGCTGTTATTCTTGACTGAATTTACTGTAGGGCTCTTAGGTTAACATTCAGGAAGGAAAGTTGGGATGTGAATAAGAGACTGCATAGACTGTGACGGGTAAGGAAGTGCTGGAACCCCTGAGGACAATTAGAACCTACGAGGAAACTAAAACTTGCCTGACTCTTACCCAGACCACCAGCAACATGTGTGATTGGCCACGGTTCCTGGAGCCTGCACCCACCTGAAGAGGAAAATCATATGGTAGCTACCTCACACCTACATTCCAAGCCTTGCATGTGTTTTTCACATGGCCAGTTCTGTCCCAGAGCAATACAAAGCATATTCTGGGGAATGTATTTCCAGATAACTTCAATTGCGACAGTATGAAGCTACCACACTACCTCCTTATCATCTAGGCATCCATGTTTACCTCTGTTATCACCCCTTGGGTTTCAAATAAAGACCATAGAAAAGTTAGGCACCCTGCTCCCTACCCTCATCCAAACAAAAACATGCTAACTCTCCCACCAAAAGATGATGCAAAGTCTATTTATCCATCTTTGGGAGATGTCTTTTTTCTCCTAGCTAAGGTATACTCTGATACTGGTGTTCTGAACCTCATTCTAAAATATAATGAGATGTAAGATTTTTATTGGCTCATCTTATGCTGCTACATGTAGACACAAATGGGGAGAGTAAAATAGTTAACATATTCATAAATATATTTATATTTTAAAAGTTCAGGATTATTACAATTATTGTTTCTACAAATGATCATGTGATTGTAACTGTTTGTTTTTAAATTTAATATGGTAAAAACTAAAACAAAGGGGTTTTTTTTGCTAGGTGATATATATGTTTGCCAGAGAAAAACAGAGAAAGAGAGACAAGGAAAGTGAGAAAGCACCCCTTGTGGGGCACGGCCACACTGCAATTCCTCCTCTTCTCTTTCTCCTCTTGAGATTTTGGGCACACCTGGCATGTTTTTCAAGCCACTGGGTCCAAGACTCAACTGTGCAGTTGGCCAGAGGGATCCAGCTGCCTTAACCACCACACCACTGGCTAGCCCTGGAGAAGCTTTTATACCTCTCTTCTGTTGTCCATTTCATAGTCTCTTTGCTCACAGCTAGGATCTCCACTCACTGATATTCTTGACTTTTATTTTTCTTACATGCCTTAAACATATTTTAAAGTTAGATTCAATACTTTAAATCAAACAAAAATTGATCCCCTAATGGGCAAGAAAATATAGCAAATTCAGTGTCTTGAAAATACCACACAATGAATTATCAACCAAATACCTAACCTTAATAATTATTGGGTTGTCTGGAAAGTCAAGACACATTTTGTATAGAAAAAAATACATCTGACTTTTTCAACAACCTAATACATGACATTACCTATCAAGCATAGTAATATATATAGGCAGACATATTTCAGATTAATACATCTTATAGAAAAGAGAATGGTTACCCAAACAGATCACACCTAAGTTCACATAGGACAGTTTTTTTTTTTTTTTGGAGAGATTTTCACTGTAGGGCGCGTGCACTCGCCAGACAGACAGAGAGAGACATAGAGACAGAAAGCGAGAAATCACCCCCCAGGGGGGATGGTCACGCCGCAATCCCTTCTCCTCCATTCTCCTCTCGGGATCTTGGGCATGCACGCACACGCGCCCGGCGTGAGTTTTAAGCCACCGGGTCCGGGACACGAACCGCGGTTGACTACGTGGGAGTCCAGCGACATAGCCATTATGCTAACTGCTGGTTCCCACATAGGACAGTTTTTTAACACAGGCCTCTACATTGAGATATAAGGAAATCAAAATAGATTGTATCCTGTGAATTTCACTTCATACTTGAAAATAATGTGAGAAAGTATTCCCAGATTTCAAATATGCATCTGTTAGTGCTTATCTATGAGGTTCAAGAACAAACTGCAGATCAGCATCCAAAAGTAATGAGTGTGTCAGACACACATGACTTCACCTGCATAGGAGAGACATCTACTTTGTTGAGAGAATAGTAAATAGCTCGACCCCCAGCCAAGGGAGCTCAGCCTTCAGGGGTCAACTCAGAGTCCTTCTAGACACAGACTATGCTCTCAGACAGTGGACAGCATAAGCAGCAATTCACAGTGTGTGTTCTAGACAAAGCAGCAGGGGATGCAGGTGACAATCAGGTGTTTCACACGCTTTGCAAAGTCAATGGCGTCTTCGTGGTTGGTGCTGATGTCGGAGACCTGAATGTCAATCAGCAGCGGTACCTGCTCGATCCTGAATGTGGTTAGCAATGACCCTTTCAGTGTCCTCATGGAGTCTGGGGATGTTTGTCAGTTTTTTGGTACACACTTTTTGATAGTGTCGATTAATCGTTGTATTACCAAATTCACACTTTTTAAGGAAAGCTCTTTCAGATTTTCAATCTGTTTTTTGACTATGACTTTCAGTTTTTTTTTCAATCCCACATATGTGAAAACCATTGTGAAATTACCAAAAGCATTTGTAACCTTTATAATGGCATTTGTTTTCTGTGCCTACTTGTACACAGACACAATTGTCCACATTTATCAAAACATCACTTTGTACCCCATAAATCATACAATTAGGATGTGTCGATCAAAAATAATATTAATACATTTAAAACAAACAAACCCAAATGAATAAGAAGAATATGCAAAATCAATGCACAGATTAGAACATTTTATTTGCAATGCATATTTCTGAAAAAATAATTCAAATAAGGAATATATTAAAAAGGTCATAAAAACCAGTAAAAAAAATAAAGCATGACCAGCAAGTGGTGTGGATGTTAAGGTGCTGGATCCCACATGGCCGACCATTGCTCGAGTCCCAGACTCAGTGGCTTGAAAATCTTACCTGGCATTTGCGCATGCTTGCCCAAAATCTGAAGAGAAGAATGAAGGAGAAGGGATTGGGGCGTGGCCATCCCCCCCCCAAGTGAAAGTGATTTCTCACTTTCCCTCTCACTGTCTCTATCTCTCTCCCGTGAGTACATGCACCCTAAGGCAAAAATACCAAAAAAAAAAAAAAAAAAAAAAAAAAGAATAAAAGTATTCCATATCAGGATCTTGATCTTTCCCCTTGCTAGCTTGGCCCTCTCTGTCTCTAATGCTCTCCCCTCAGAGATGCACCTGCGAACTTCTTCCCTTAATGTCACCACTTTGTGAAGCCTTTATCTAATTCTTCCGATTTCAGTCCTCAGGTTCTAACATTCTCCCCAGGGAACTGAAGCGATCCTTTACTAAAGCACTGCCACCTGGTGTCCAGCTAAAACAGTGTGCCATTTATCAAGATCTTACTGCCCTCCGGTGTTCCTGAGTTAATACGCAAAGCCCAGTTGCATGCAGTAGAAACCCTCACCCTTGAACTACAATCAGTGAACTTCCCATCTCAAAAATCAAGTGAGAAGTGATTCTAAAGGATTGCCTGGGTTTTGATCTATTATCGTGCCAGATGTGACAATGAAAACACTTAGGATTTCTCTATGTGAAGTTGATATAAAAATATCCTAAGAAGTAGGAACAAGAGTCAATGATGCAAAAAAATAAGTCGTAGGGAACAGGACTTGGTATGTTCCGTGTTATAAGATGCCACCTGGTCTCCTAATAGGACATATAATTGATGATTTTCCATGAATAGAAAGCATGATAGAGTATTGAAAACATGATATTTATCATTGTACATCAAAACTGCTATGCAAATTGCAAAATACACTTTAGAAAAATATTGAAAACTTCGCTCTATTGCAAAGAGATCTGGATCTGGCTGAGTCCCTAAGATAGGGAGGGTTTCAAGGTTCAAGTAGATAAATGATGATTTACACCATAATTAGTGGTTCTGAACTCCCAGGAATGGATGGTGACTCTCTTCCTCTAGGTTGATGATAGTTTGTATGAATAATAATTACAAAGTGTTCAGAGCTATGTATATAATGACACAGAGCATGGAGGGTTTGGGGCTGGATCTCTGGCAGTCAATAGTTTAAGGCACACAGCTTCTTATTTAGTGATAGGATTTCTATCATAGTGGTCAGAAGCAAACGTATTTGTCGAGCACTCCTTAGAGTGGGACCCTGGCTTAGGTATCACTGCTGCTCTGAGTGTATTACAGGTGGGTACCCTGGCTCACTCTGATGTACTCCCAGACTCGCGTGTGTGATTTTAAAGTCTAGAACGTGTGGTTGATATTTCCATGCGGGCTCTCCACATGTAACTCACAGCGTTAACTCACAGCTCCCGAGAGCACAAAACAGAACTGCCTTCTTAAAGGGAGCTTCAGATGGACATAACATCGCTCTTCCTGCATAGAGCTTCCAGTGTGACAGCTTCTTGTATTACTGCTGCACCACAGCAGCTGTGCTGTTTCATGTTATATTTGATGTATTTTTATGATTTACTTCTGGCTTATTTTATATACAAAAATATTGTCAGCAAGCAGATGCGCTTACTGGAGAGATAAAGAGAAAGAGAGCACAAAAAAAGCACGCCCCTTGGGACATGGTCACATCACAATAACTTCTCCATTTCTCCTTCCTTTGGGATTGGGATGCACGCACATGCACCTGGCATGCCTCCCAAGCTGTTGAGTTCAGAATGTGAACTGCAGCTGCCCATGTGAGGTCCAGCTCTCTGAACCACCAGGCCATGGACGAATCCTATCTACTTCTATCTTACAAATTAGATGCATATACCACTATTTGCTATTCAGTCACATGAGGGTACTAATTCTCTCTGCAGAAGATGAAGCTGTTAATATTCCCACTCGGCCCTTCCTACTCTTTCTCTCTACAGTCCGTACATACTGGCCACGACATTTTCACCTTTACATCATCTCAACCATCAGTATCTTTATTTACTGTGTTGTTAGATATGGCTTATGAAATTAGAAAAACAATGAATCTCATGAAATTTCTATGCCTATGATCTTTATTTATTTTCTTTACTTTCTCATGTTAGTGTGAACATTTCCAACCTTCAAAAGTCAAATGACATAGCCAAAGACAATTGTTTGTGGTATTACCAATTTTTTTCCTTAGATTCCCTAAGTTACTTAAAAATTTCATTCATCTGAGTAGTTTCTTTTACTCTTTTCCCCTTGACAGTTTCTATGTTTTTATTATTTTAAAATTTTATACATTTAATCACTGTGTACAAACAACTAAGGATGGCATATAAACGGCCAAAAAGCATATGAAAAGACGCTCAACATTTCTAATTGTTTTTATCTTTACTTCTTTCAAAAAAAGTTACATGTTTATAATTTTATCATTTTCCTATTCTTTGGATGATTATCTACTCCTAAAACACACTTCCTTCTTTTTTAGCCTTTGTTGGCCTAAATTTTCAAATCTTCTTTGTCAGAGGGTATGTGTGCTCATGAGAGAGAAAGAGAGAGGAAGAGAAAGAAAGAGAGAGGAAGAGAAAGAAAGAAAGTGCTTCCCGACCACCTGAATGGGCCATGGTCATGCTGCAGTTACTCTTCCACTTGAACCCTTCAGAGTTTTCAGCACACATGCGAATACCTGGAGTGTTTTTCAAACCCTCAGTGCCAGCACCAAGACTCAAACCACAGTTGGCTATGTGAATCTGGCCTCCTATACACAGCACTTAACTATTATGCTATAGGGCCGTTCTATAAACCCCCAAGTCTTGATTATGTGTTCTGCTGAGATGGCTTTGCCTTCTTTAAGTTGATAATCTCTGGAGGAGTTCTATAAAAGTGACTGATACTTCCTTCTCTCTTTCTTTCCCTCTTTCTTTATCTTTCTATTTTTGCTTTTCTTCTGTTAGCAACAATGAACTACGTTTTCTTTTTCTTTTGATTTAGTTGTTGTGATGCTTATTTCTGAACCACTATTCAGCTTTATAACCAAAACTGGGACTGAATTAATCTACTTGATTCCCCTGCATCAGAATAAAAAACATTTAAAGATTATCCTGATGTTTTCTGTGAAGTCTGTTATGAACAATGACCTTGCCTACTATACCTGTCCAATCTTTTTTCTATGAAGCCGCTATTTATTCTCTTTTGATGTGTTTTGTATATGGAATGAACAATATAGAGGAGCACATACTCAACTACTGAAGAAGGAAATGCAAAAACAACCACACATCATATCATGCCTCTGAAATTGTAAGACACAAAATGTGTGTGTCTGTAGACTTTTTGACCACACAGGGTTTGGTGTGGTCAAATCCTGTAAAGGGAGGAACATTTTTGAGCTACCTGATGTGAGCTGTTTGCCTGGCAGATTCCTTTCTGAGCCTCTAATGATGAAATAGCAAGGGATGGATATGGCAAGGCTCACTAGAAGAACTACTTCTGCACTTGGCCTCCAGAGGGCGATGCAAACCAGAACTACCTGCCAATAGCTGAAAACAGCATTACTCCTTTAGCTCCTCCTTCACAACCTAACTGAGGTATCCAGAGGAAGCTCTTTCTGCACAGTGACCTGTGGGGAGAATCTAAAAGCTGTACAACTTTCTGATTAATTAAGAAAGAGACATCTCCAAACACCCCTGGGATGTGCTCATGCAAGCGATTTCTAGAGCAGCAACTTGCTTGTTCCAAGGGCGCTGTTTCCTCACCCATGTTTCGTCCTGCTCAAGGAAGATCTTCAAAAAGGATCCCACAGCGTGTTCACTGCTCAGTCATGAACTTTGTTCCTGCAGTGGTGCTTATGATATTTTTTCCCCTGTGTGAGTAAAATTCGATTCCATCCTCTTATTCCCTAGTTCAGTATTGCAACTGGACTCTGAATAGAGACACCTTCTCTTCATAGGTAAGTCTGTTCTGGTCTCACTGACACAGTATTGATGTTGCAGGGGGAACCAGAGCCCAGTCAGTGACCCAGCCTGATGTCCACGTCGCTGTCCCTGAAGGAGCCCATCTGGAGCTGAGGTGCAACTATTCATCTTCTGTCCCGTCGTATCTCTTCTGGTACGTGCAGTACCCCAACCAAGGACTCCAGCTCCTTCTGAAGTACTCGTTTGGAATCAGTCTTGTTACAGGCATCAAAAATTTTGAGGCTGAATTTAGGAAAAGTGAAACCTCCTTCCACCTGAAGAAAACCTCAGCCCATCTGAGCAACTCTGCTGGGTACTTCTGTACCCTGAGTGACAGTGCTGGCACTGCAGGGGGAGCTGAACACAAACTTCTGGTGACTGTGAGGCTGCTGTGGCTCAAAGGCTCAACCTAGAGACTTGTCAGTAAGATCTCAGGTTCTGTCAGGACAGGGAGTACCTAGGGGACTACTACTTAGCTTTTGTGTAGAAACAGAGTCAGAATTCATAAGAAATGGACAATTTAAGATAAAAACACATTATCTGCAACAGACCAGTGACTAAAATCTGCCCAAGGAATCACTTCAAAGGGCCCCTTTTTGGGTGAGAGAGCAGTTTGACTAGTGACCAGGTAGGTATCAGTACTGACAGTCTGCACTGATGGTTCTGACCCACTGGGGGGCACTGTAGGCCTTGCTTTAATGAACTTTTCTTAAAGTGTCAGATAACTGGATCAGTGTGTGAATGTTTAAAAGACTGAATGGGAGGGTGAAGATTAATAACAGGGGAAGAAACTGAAAGTCACTAAACACACAGGAAGACTATTTACTGATTTGGCCATTACTCAACTCTTCCATTTTAACAGAATTTTAAAAACATTATATACAGATCTTCATAAATCTACTTCAGTCAGGTTGAGGAGGGCCTGGGCTGTGATCTTTGACAGAGATGATTACCTAAGCAGAAGTGAGACTAGAAGTCTCTTAGAGCCAAGAGGGACTTGGCTCTAAAATAATTTTATCAACATATTGTACCCGTTACTTAGATCTCTCTCTCTCTCTATCTTTCTAGATGTATGTATGTAACATTTTCTGTTTTTACATGCAAAATGCATCTTGACTTTTTTGACAACCTAATAGATCTATCTACATATTACATATTTTCTCCAATACCCTTGATGAAATTCTCCCTCTTACATTTTCTCTGAGGAAAAAGGAAATGAAGGAGATAAGGAACAAAAGTGAAGAAAGGAGACGAGAGAGAGAAGGAAAGACTGGAGGAAAAAGGAGAAGCATCATGTGTGAGCTGCAAATGTGGCACTCATCTCACGGTCGAGAACCGAGTCAGCCACGTGGGTCTGTTGGCTTTAAGGGAAAGGGGCTGGGTGGGAGAGGACTGGAGGGAGGACTGAGATTAGGGCAGGCATCATACAGATGTCTTGTATTTCCCCCAAACAATCAAAGCCTTATTGCAGACTATGCTATGTTCATGCAAAAATACAGAAATATTTTTTAGATTTACGAACTATTTTAGTTTTTTTTTTTTTTTGAGTTTTTGCCTTAGGGCACATGCCCTCACTGGAGAGAGAAAGAGAGACAGACAGACAGACAGAGGCATGGAGGCATTGAGAGGTAAAGTGAGAGGGGATGGCTATGCTGCAATCCCTTCTCCTCCATTCACCTCTGAGGATCTTGGGCACACACACACACACACACACACACACTAGCTGTGAGCTTGTGAGCTTCAAGCCACCAGGTCCAAGAATTGAGCCGCGGTCAGTGATGTGGGAGTCTAGCAGCATAACTGCTACGCCATCTGCTGGCCCCTAACTACTCCAGTTTTCAAATTTGTATTACCTTTCTTAAAAAATTGGATGAACAAAATATGTTCCATGAAATGATGTTTCTTTTTTAGGAATTCCATATAAATAAATTCTCGAAGTCTCTGTTTAACTATGTGTCTTGATTCTTGTTTAGGAAGCAGATCACTGAAATGACACTTCTCAAAGATATGTTAGCTCAGATGAGGTTCCCATTTCCCTCTGGCCGTTCTCACTTTTCTCACCCTTTATATAAACTTCCCAAATTTCCTACCTAAAACAGTTCTTAGGAAAAGGTTGGTAATAGCATTCTTTACCTCTTGTTTTACACCTGTGCTCCTCCACCCTTAGTACGCACCCACCCTACACACACTAGCTGAGAAAGATTACGTATTCAGCATGGGCTGGGCCATGTCAACAGTTTCCTGTTCAGGAACATAACACAAAGCACGGGTGTGAGAGTGACTGGTGCTTGGTGGGGTGTAGCCCATTGGCTGTTAGAACAAGTTTGTTGGACTGAAGACTGACACCTTCAGAGCAGGGCACAAGGAACTCTGGCAACTGGACAAGCTGTCATGGGGAGAAGACTGGGAGCTCTGCTGGGGCTTCTGTGGGCCCAGGTTGGCTGTGAGTTAGAACTGGCCCAGATGGAGCTGAGGGATGTCCCACAGCTGGCAGTGGGAGGAGGGAAGGGAAAGCTGACTGGAAGCTCCTGGAGCCTCCTTGGTATTTCAGGGATATTTCACAGCTTTGAAAGCTGCATCAGTTCTTCCCCAGTGACACCACGTGCATTTGCTTTTCTCTTTTCAACCAGGGGTGAGAGGGTTCCAGGTGGAGCAGAGTCCTCCAGCCCTGAGTCTCCAAGAGGGAACCGACTCTACTCTGCGGTGTAATTTTTCTGCCACTGTGGACAACGTGCAGTGGTTCCGACAGAATCCTGGGGGCAGCCTCATCAATCTGTTTTTTGTGGCTTCAGGGAAGAAACAGAACGGAAGGTTAGAGGCAATGGTTAATTCTAAGGACCGCTATAGCACCCTTCACATCACGGCCTCCCAGCTGGAAGACTTAGGCACCTACCTGTGTGCAGCAGAGGCACAGTGCTCCCAGGTCACCTGCAGGCTGAGCTCAAACTGCAGCTGGGCTTCTGCCAGCATTCGCATAGCGTTAGGTTTCCTACTCATGTTGGCAGTACTTTATCCTTCCATAATTACAAATATATAGTGCTGACATGGAGCTATCAGAGATTCTGGGCAGTATTCTCCTAGGGTCAAATCCGTGTTTAAGTGGGCAATGAAAGTGTTCAACACAGCCAAAGTTAGACCCTCACTAAATAAGTTATAATGGAGAGAAACTTACAAACATCCATAATTCTTGGGACAACTTATCCCTTAATAGCAACACACGGCTTAGTTTCTAAGGAAGGTAAAAAAAAGTGTTATCAAACTTTGCCATGCTTGTATTCATAATCTTTAGTGCCTGGAGGTCTTGAAAAACTGTAATAGAAAAGTGCTAATATTCAGTTAACACTTACACAGAATGGAGCTCTGTATGAAAGTCTTTAATGTCATTTAATCTCTACAATGTTTTGTGATGCAGGTACTGTGTTATCCTCTTTTTTTTTTTTTTTTTTTTTTAACAATGAGGTAAAGAAAGTTTAGAGACCAAATCCCATATCCTCGTCCGACTCCCTGACTCTTCCTTGGCTTCAACCTTGGCTTGGGCCGGGCAGCAGCAGGAGTAGCAGTGGTGGCAGTGGCCACAGGGGTGGCAGCTGCAAATGCAGATGGATCAGCCCAGAAGGCCTTGATCTTTTCAGCAAGTAGGATAAAGGCTTACGTCTATTAAAACTCTTAAAAAAAAAAAAAAAAAAGAGAGACAGAGAAAGTTTAGAGAAGTGAAGTAAAATGAGGTAAAGAAAGGTTAGAGAAGTGAGGTGAAAATTTCAAGGTCACATAACTAAAGAGCCAACTCAGTATTGGGAAAGAAACATTTGTCTGACTTCAGATCCCACAGTCTTAATCCCTGTACGCTTACTGCCTCTTACTGCCTTCTCAGAATTCAAGGCAAATTGCTTATAGTGACAAATATGCAGAATGTTTTCATAACTCAACAAATAAAGCAATTTTGGCAATTTCTAAATAGTTACTCCTCAGAAAAAGCTAGTTTGAGGTTTTGTATAAAGTGATAATTCACCCATTGACCTCTAAACCACCTACTACCACCTCCGGAGGGTCTCAGTGATCCAGGTAGCAGATGCCAGAGGAGCCAAAGGGCCAGGGTCATCCTATAATTCAATCTTTGATTTATTTTTTCTCTCTAAAAGAAAGCTGAAGTTACCTAGAGTTCACTGAAGCAAATGTTTACTCAACAAATATTTAATTTGTGGTATGATCTGATAGGCACTGTTGTAGCGGCAGGGGATTGCTTTACTCCACACTGTAGATAAATTTACTGCACATACAGAATTTTTATTCTGTTTTGGGTGACAGTACAAACAAACGATTGAAGAATTGATTTCAAAATCTAAGTGACACTAAGAAAATAAAATGAATGTGGTTAAGGTGCTGGATTCCCATATGCCCGACTATGCTTTGAGTCCTGGACTGGACAACTTAAAAATCATGACAAATAAATATATGAATAAAGAAATGTTAAAAATTAAAATGAAATGAGTCATGTGAAAGAGAATCACATTACACAATGGTCAGCAGGCCATTTCAGCTCAGCCTTTAATGACAGAAAGATGACTTAAACAGGGTGTGGAGACATGGGGTAAGGAAGACTTTTTTTGTTTTTTTTTTTTGTTTGTTTGTTTTTTAAACTGTCTTTTTAATTTTTTATTTAACTGCATCCATCATCATTTTTTAAATTTCTTTTCTTTACTTTTTTTTTTTTTTTTTTTTTTTTTTTGAACTTGACCTGAGGGAGAGAGAAAGGGAAAATGAGAAAGCAAGCCACCAGGTCCAGGACTTGAACCGTGGTCAGCCATATGGGGTAACAGTAACCCAATCACCACACCACCCGCTGGCTCCACAGAAGAGTTTTTAAATGCAACACTGGTTCTTTGGCAGAGCAAGTGTGGTGTGTCTCTGACAGAAGCTGGTGTTCCCACAATGAGAGGAGAATGGTAGAGGATGATATGGAAGAGATACAGACCTGGTCATTCAAGGCCTTGCACCATCATGGTTAGGTTCTGATTTTATTCTGCATGAAATGGGAGGCATTTGAAAGGGTTTAAATACATCTTTGGAAGTGAAATAACAGGGTTTGAGTACAGCAGATGAGGAAAAAAGAGAATCAGCAGTGACTTCTTTACATAGTTACTGGGAAGATGGGATTGTTGACAAGCTGGAGAAATCTGAAGGAGGAAAATTTTGTGATGATAATAGGAAGACAAAAGTATTGTTTAAACATGTTATGTTTGAGATGTCCATATGACTTCTGATTGGAGCTGACCGGGCAGCTGAGCGCCAGGTCCTCTGAGCCTGGAGTCAGAGAGGACATAGCAGCCTGTGGATAATGTTCAAGCCAGGGGACTGAAGAGATCACGGAAGGAAGAGAAGAAGTTCTTTAACTGAGCTCATGGGCTAATAGGGAAGGAGTCAGTCAGTAAAGGAGACTAGTCAATTGTGTGTGTACTGCCACAGAAGGTAAGAAGAGAAAGTGGCTCAAGAGATGTAACCAATTGTGCCCAAAACATCAGGTGGGGGTTCATGCAGTGAGGGAAAGACAACAATCAGAAGAGACAGATGAAAAATGACTTCAGCTGGAAAGGATTAATTAAATAATTCGTTAGTGTCCTTATTCTTATATTTAAAATGTTTATTGTTACCCTATATTTTGACATTTCTTTTACGGTTTCTGGTTTTGGTATTAGGCATGATTTTGTTGCCTCAAAATCATAAATTATCTAATTATAAATTGTCTATATTTCTTTTATTATTATATTAGTAGCTTTGTTTTTCTCCTTTAAGACTTCTGGGTAATAAAAATTTATTTTGAAATCTGGAGTGAGGTTGGGGCCCAGTTTTTTTTTCTCCAGCAACATTCATTGAGCAATGTATCTGTCATCACTGATCTGCAATACCATGTTTCTATAAAAATTTGGGTCTTGGGACCAGCAGACAGACGGCATCATGATTATGTCACTGGACTCCCACATAGTTAACTTCTGTTCAATTCCTGGACCAAGTGGCTTAAAATTCATGCCAGGTGCATGTGCATGCCCAAAATCCCAAGAGGAGAATGGAGAAGGGATGGTACGGTGGCCATCTCCCCAGGGGCTGGTTTCTAGCTTTCTGTCTCTCTATCTTTCCAGTAGGCAGATGTGCCCTATAGCAAAAATCTCTCTCAAAAAAAAAAAAAAAAAAAAAAAAAAAAAAAGGGATCTCAGTCTTGATTCTCTGTGCACTGAATGGTATTTGCACATGTTTCATATCAGTTTAATTACTTTAGCTTCACAACTTACTTCAATAGCATCGGGCCCAGTTTATGTGCCTTCCTACATTAATTTGGCTATTTATTTTAACTGCCAGAGGGAGTGTACACTTAACAGAGAGAGTCAGAAAGAAGAGGAGAGAGAGAGAGAGAGAATCTACCTCCCAGCCCCCATTGCATATGGTCATGCCACGATCCTTTTCCTTCATTTCTCCATCCTGTCAGGATTTGAGGTACAAATGCGCACATGCTGGGCATGTTTTTCAAGCCTCTGGGGCCAGAATTCAAACCAGAGCTGACATGTGGGAGTCAGTTCTTTTAGCCACTCAGCTATGGAGTCAGTCAAGGCCACTGTTTTATGTTCTGTCTTATTAATTATCCTCCAGGAAGATTGTCTCGTATGAGCTGCATTCTTGAATTAGGAGAGAAGAGGTTAAATTCCCTTACAAGGAAAATGTTTTGTGTCATTGCTGCCTTTGTGGAAGGGCAGGGACCACTGAAGTAATTTTTCTTGATCTCTTATGTTACTAATTGCAAAAAAAATACCATAAAGCCCCTCATTTGCAGAGGCCTCTACCTAACGTGTTGCTAGGTGTTATGCAATGTGCTTTGTGTTCACATTTCTTTTTGTAAAACTTTTTCCAAAAAAAAAAAAAAAGAAAACACTTAACAGGAGTTGATTAAGATTAGTCTCTTCTCATGTATTTATCCTTCTATTGGGTTGCCTTTTGTTTTAGGTGGTGTTGGAGTGGCTTCAGAGCTTTTTGGAAGTCTGGCTAAAGTGAGATTTAGAAGATTGCAGATTGAGTAAGTTTGTTGTGGGTAGGCCAGAAAAAGGGGATGATCAAGGGTTGTGACATTATGAAGTTTGAGAAGTTGTGGTTGTTGTAAAAGTAAGTCTGCAATTGAGGGATAGGGTCTGGCTAAGAATAAAGGTTTGTGAGTTATCAACTTATGATAGAAATTACAGATCTGAGAGTTCCATGAACACTTTAAAATTTTTGCTTGAATTTGAATAGTAATTAAAATATATCATTGTTAAGGCCAGTTAAATTATTTTATTACTGGGGCCAGCAGGTGGCATGGCAATTAAAGTGCTAGACTCACACATGGTAAACCATGGTTCAAGTCCCGGACCTGACAACTTGCTTTCTCACCCCATCCCAAGTTTCTCTCTGGTCAGATTAAAAAAATAATAACAATAGTAAACAAAATTAAATAAATAATTATTTTTTGAAAATTATTTTATTGCCAGAGTGCAGGTGCACTCACCAGAAAAAGAGAAAAAGAGAGAAAGAGCCCCATCAATGGGACATCATCATGCCACAATCCTTTCTCTTCTCTATGTTCATCCCTCCGGGATTTAGGGCATATGTGCATGCATTTCCAACATGTTTTCAAGCTATCAGGGGTAGGATTTGAACCTCACTCAGGATGTGAACTGTGGTTGGCCATGCAGGATCTGGGCCCCTATGCACAGAATTTAACCACTGTACCATGGGGCTGGCCGAATGAAAAATAACTTAAATAACTTCTGTTTTCACTTTTTTTTTCTCTTTAAAAGAGGTTTTCATATTACTGCAGGCTTCTTAAACATTGAAATAAGGTTTAATAGTTAGGATGCTTCTGTTCTCTAAACCCTAGAGAACAGCTTTAAGAATCTTATTACTCCAGAGCTCTATGACAGTCATTGCATTAGCTGGGATGACTTTATGCTGTTCTCTGGTAATAAATAAGCCACAAAATCCCATCGTATTAACATGAGGGACGTTTATTACGTACTCGTGCTGTCTGGAGGTAGGTGGGTGCCCTCCTGCATTCTGTAGCTTCACTAGCGACAGCACGTTTTCCCAGGGTGCAGTGGCAAAGAAAAATAACAGGTGAGGGAGGTATATAGAAGCTCTTAAATTCTTGGTTCTGCCTTGGAGAGGTTCCAGAGAACAGGAAAACCTGTTTAGAAGGCTTTGGTAATGGTCTGGGCTAGAGAAAATTGTGTAATGAGCTAGTGTTGAGCAAACGGAGATTTGGGAGCTTGAACTCTGGCATCTTAGTGAGTGTAGGCAATGACACCCCAAAGAGACCCAGTGAATAGTGACAGTGTCAAAATTGATTCTTCCTGACTGGAATACCACCCCCTATCTCAAGCACATGTTCGCTCTTCTGCCTACCTTTAAACTCCTGGTGTGAAGAAATAAAGAGAGAGGTGATGCAGCCATGGGGCAGTCTGCAGGAGTTCAGGAAAAAGCACAAGAGGGCGCTCCTTTCTTCAGATAAGGCATATTTCCACATTTGCGTGGTGGTTTGACATCCCTTGGTCCCTCTTCTCTGTGCATATTACCTGCCTTCTTCAGTTACTCTTCAGCTGCCAGGGGCAGGCAGGCTCTTTCTAAAGGGGCACAGACTCTCCAGAAGATCCCACACAGAACCCACAGATTCTGAGACCAGATCATCGCCTGTCAGGGTGTTCACGGGTGCAGAGCCCTTTGTCTTCCACACAGCTCTCCAGCCATGCGCTCCGACTTCGGCTCACTGCTTGCTGTGGTCCTGCTGCTGATTCTCAGTGAGTGACATTTCTTTTAGTCGTCTTCTCTTTCTGAATCTGGGTGATAATACCTAGCTCCCCCTCTCCACTGAGGATTGTCCCTCCATGTATAAATTCCTAAATGACAAAATCTTAATTATTTTAGGGAGAACCCACGGAGACTCAGTGACACAGACAGAAGGCCCAGTTACCCTCTTTGAGGAGGCAGCTCTGACCTTGAACTGCACTTACCAGACCAGTAGAACAGTTTTCCTTTTCTGGTATGTCCAGTATGTTAATAAAGCTCCTCAACTCCTGAAGAGTTCATTGGACAAGCAGAAGACAGAGAACGAAGGTTTTTATGCCAATCACATTAAGGATGACAGCTCCTTCCACCTGCAGAAACGCTCCGTGCAAACGTCAGACTCTGCTGTGTACTACTGCGCGATGAGAGACACAGTGGGAGGGACTGCAGGGGGAGCTGAGCACAAACCAGAGAGGGCAGGTGGGGCCTGGGTGAGGCAGCCCTGGGAGGGAGAGTTATGGCTTCTCCCCAGGTGGTGTCTTGGACTGGGGACAGCTAGAGGAAAAGGAACAAATTTTAACCTTGAGCCTTAGAACGCAGGAGCCCTGGTGCTACTCTGAGCAAGAAATAGAGTTAGGGAATCTAAGGCAAACTCGATTTCCTATTTCCAGAAATGTTTCTGTTTCCAGTCAGGATGCACTTCTTTCCTCCAGATGGAAAAACATCCCCTGGTAAATATTTACTCAACTTCTGTGTGGTTCCTCTGCTAAGAGAATCTGGATTTGGTCTCTTCTGGCATATCTCCATCTCTAAATATTGAAAACTTTAAGGACTTTTTTTAAAAAAATCATTTTTAGGGCAAATATCTTAAAGACTAAATGAGATACTGGGAATGCAGCCTGACCAACATCGGCACATGCCTCTGTTGCTGATGGATGTTCCCTTCCTTACAAGTACAGAAGATGTAGAGACCCCATCCTGCCTTCATTCCTTTCTCCAGTTCTTCCTTCCTTCCTTTGCAACTGCTCAAAAACACTGCTGGAAAGGAGATTTTTTAGGAAAGCCTCTGCCCTCCTTGGAGTCTCTTCCTACATTCTGGTTTGCACAGCTAGTGAGAATCAGCCCAGTGGGGAAAGGCTGTGAGGAGAGCCTCATTGTGGCTTTTAACTTACACCCCAAATAAGCGATGTGGGGAAGTGCCTGGATTTCTTTTTAAATTATTTTATTTAACTTCTATTTATTTTAACTTGACCAGAGAGGGACAGAGTGTATGTGTGAGAGAAAGTGAGAAAGCAAGCTGCCAGGTCTGGACTCTAACCATGTGGGAGTCCAGCGCCCTCAACCCCCATGCCACCTGCCGGCTCCAGGGAAGTGTCTGGATATCTTATTTTAGGCTCAGTTTGTTCCTGATGAATTACAGTAAGAAGTGTTTTGGTTGAATCAGTTCTTTCTTTGTGTTTGAAAGAATGTCTGCTCATCATTCATGTACTTGCCTGTATACAAAGGAAGCCTGATCTCTTTAGAGTGCTGCTTTAAGTCAACCATGGGTCTTTCTCCTTGGGAAATCCTTTAGTGTCAATGTGTGTAAAAACATAGGGATGGGTGAATTGTCTTTCTTAGTGGCTGGCAAGTTAGACCCAGATGGTGATGCTGTATTGCCTAGGACCAGGAAAGAAAGAAATAAGAGTTTCTCACTGAAACTCTGTTCACATTTTGGATTTCAGAACTGGGACCTTACGTGGCTTAAGAACAATCAGAGACTCCAGCAGCTGCAGTGGCGACCCTATGATTTCAGTAGGACCATGAGGATTTATAGAGAAGTGAGAAAGCCTGGGAAATATTTGCCCCATTGCAAACTACATGGGCTCCGTGCAGTCTCTTTGAGACCTCAGTGGACTTGTGGGAAAATATAATTTCAAAGAGTTGATTACGGGCTGAGCTCTGCCCCTCCCATTAGAGTGTTGAGATTTTTTTTTGTTTGTTTGTTTGTTTGTTTTTGTTTTTGTTTTGTTTTTCCATAGGGTGCATGTGCTCTCTGGAGAGAGTCAGTGAAAGACAATGAGCGGGAGAGTAAGAAATCATCCCCCCGGTGGATGGTCATGCCATAATCCTTTTTCTTTCTTTCTTCTCTTGGGATTTTGGGCACATATGCCAACACATTCTGCATGGCTCTTAAGCCACCAGATCCTGGACTTAAACAGTAGTTGGTAATGTGAGTCCAGCGCCTTGACCAGTACACCACCTGTTGGCTACATATGCTGAAATTCTAACCCTCACTTAGACTCTATTGGGAGATAGGGCCTTCAGGGAGGCAAATAAGGTTAAATGAGATCATAATAGGATTAGTGTCCTTGTAAGAAGAGGAAGGAGGATCCGACCTGGGCTGGTGTTTAGGGTGGCTCAATGCCACTTGGCTATGTGGTTTGAGTCCTGAATCTGGTGGCTTGAGAAACACACTAGCGTATGTGCATGCTGTAAGTGAATCTTGATTTGAAGTTGAGCTTGTGATTATGGAGAATAAATGCAATACATTGCCATGTGATAATTAGACCGAACCAAGAGAACTGGCTGATGGAGCTCAGAAACACACATTCAACGATCAGTATAACAGCTGTGATTGTCGGATGGATTTACTCACTCAAGAAATATTTGAGTAACCACTAAATTCCATGACATTGCCTCAAAATGAATCTTCTCATATGCTAAAAAAGTGCTATTTTACAAATAATCTGGTTAGAGGCCAGTATATAGGATTTTTTTCTTGAAGACAAACCTCTGTATAGTCATGTGTCACTGAACATGGGGATAAAAATGTATTATTAGGCAATGTTGTCTTTGTTCAAATGTTGTACGATGTACTTACACAAACCTAGATGGGATTGTAGTAACACACCTGGGCCGTAATGGTGTAGCCGACATGCTCCTCCCGGGATCACTGCTGTATATGCAGTCCACTGAACAGACGTTGTGTGGCCCTGAGAGCATTTGTGTCAGAGCAGAACTGACCAAACAGTCACACTCTCTAGACTGGGCAGAGGACTTGGGCTAATGCTTCATTATGACACCCCCCAATTGTACTGAAATCCAAGAGTGCATCTGGTCAGCACTAGAATTTGAATTTGTAGTGTTATTTGTATCCATAATTTAAATTTTACTAGAGACTGCCAAACTGATTTTGTAGTGTTCAAACTTGGTGATTTGACTCTTGAGGATGATTTTTGAGAGCTTCCATTTTATCATGTCTTTATTAGTATTGGTATTTTTAAACTTAACGTTTTTGACAGTCTGACAAATGTAAATATTTAAAATTTTTCTGGTTAATAGTGAGGAGTAGCATCTTTATTACTTAAGTGAGTTTCCTCTTTTCTAAAGTCCCTGTTCTTTTAATAGATTGTTCACCATTTTCTACATGATTTATGGGTGTTTGTTATTGGTTCTTGATAATAATCTAGAGCAAACTGTCTTAAAAATGTCTTCGTAAGTGGATTACTTTTCAATGCTATTTATTTGTTCACTTAATTTTCAGGGTAAGTGTGCTTGCCAGAGAGAGAGAAAAAAAACTCCCAGTGGGGTTTGGTCATATCGCAATCCTTTTTCCTTCATTTCTCCATCCCATCGGGATTTTGGGCACACTTATACGCACATGCCCAGCTTGTTTTTCAAGTCACTGGAGGCTGGGATTTGAACTGTGCTTGTCCGTGTGGGACCAAACTCCCTTAACTCCTGTGCTGTAGGCTGGTCCTACTTTTATTTTTATTTGAAATTTTTCAAAGCATGTAATTGACAGCATCCATATAACTTTATCTGAAATGATGTGGGCAAATAAAATGAATTTTGATTTTGTCAACAGTGTATACTCTGGGTTACTTGTCTATCAAGTTCTTTATTAGAGTTAAAAAATAAATACAAAGCAACTTAAATAGAGATACCATTGAGGTCAGGTACTTGAAGTCACCTATCTTTTGATTAATTTTTACATTTGTAACTCTAAGGTACAATAAAACGTTGTTGCCTAAAATGTAAAATATTGAAGTTAAATACTGAAGTTTTATCTCCTAATCAGAGAGAGTAGTTCCTTTGTCTTACTGCACTTTTGATTGGGTGATTACGATTTACCTTCATATTTTCTTAACTCTAAGGATTTTTGTCATGCTGTTCCCAACACCTTTATATCTGATCCTACTAAAAGTTCATGTTACTTACAGAAATGTATTTCCAAATACACATTCCTAATGTCTGTTCTTCAATATGGTTATGGGTGGCCTTGCATTGTGTGATTTTTTTTTTCCCTGAGGCCTAGTTACCTATGTTAGCCCTTTCTTGGCTTCACCAGCTCAGATTGTTGCTGCTTTTTGAACAAAACCCTATCTATTTCCTCTCTCCCTTTTGCCTACCTTCTCTCTAATCCCTTGTGATTGTTTGGCTCAGAGGCAGGTCAGACCTCAAGGAATAGATGAACTCAATGCAGCAACAACAATAATAGAAGAATTTTGGTGACTACATTATAGGGTGTAATAAAATAAAAACCCACTACTGTAAGAGTTAATTCCTCTCATTACCACTCTGGCACATGGTTTCAGAGGTCCACACCATAGCAACATTCTTTAATGATTCAGTTTGTGGCCATAAAGGGACAGTGGCTTCTCTTTCATTGTTGAAATGATGCCTTCCTTATAGCTAGAAATCCTGTTTACATCAGAGGAATCTTATCTCTGATTGGTTGGCAGATAGAAAGACTCTATTGGCTTACTGCATTAAAAGAACTAAGGAATAAAAACTATTTCTTCGGCTATACAATTTCAGGCAGCATTTCATATATCAAGATCAAGTTTCAGGACGGAGATGCAAAAAGGATATGCATTGATTATATTTTGGCTTCATCTTGGCTGTGAGTTGAGGGGTTTTAAGAGCAGAGACCCCAGGGGACATTCATTCAAGTCTTAGGAGGAATGATAGGGATAGAGTCTGATCTTATTTGGCGTTTCTTATTGGACACATAAGCACAAAATTATGATACACTGGAATGTATATATTGTGTCTGATGTCTCTCTCAACAGGGGTGAATGGAGAAAACCAAGTGGAGCAGAGTCCTCGTTCACTGGAACTCCAGGAGGAAGGCTCCAGCTTCATGAGTTGCACTTACGGTGAATGGAGAAAACCAAGTGGAGCAGAGTCCTCGTTCACTGGAACTCCAGGAGGAAGGCTCCAGCTTCATGAGTTGCACTTACTCAGTGGTTTTAATAATTTGCAGTGGTACAGGCAAGATTCGGGAAAGGGTCCCCAGCACCTATTCTCCATGTATTCACCTGGAGACGGGAAATTGAAAGGCAGAGTAAGAGCTACGTTACAGAAGAATGGAAGCAGCCTGCACATCACGGCCTTGCAGCTTGAAGACTCAGCCACCTACTTCTGCGCTGGAGCCCTACAGTGCTCCCAGGCACCTGGGACCTGGACTCAAACCTGCAGCTGGGCAGGAGAAGCACAACAGAAGCATCAGCCACAGAGCCTCTGAGCTGGGAGGGATGTGGCAAGAGGCTTGGGTAGGGGGAGATGAAAGCTGTTGTTTATTTGATGCACATATCTTTCGTCAGACCAACCTTTGCATTCTCAGTGTGCCTCCCTTGAATGCATCGACCCTGACCTGTCCTTGTACAGAATCTGCCAGAGCCCAGGGCAGTCTGTGTATTTAGGAATACCTCTCCTCTGTCTGGTCTCATGAAAACTTGTCCAGAAGTTTTGAGACTGTGTTTCCTCTGTCATAAAGTGACAAATGTAAATATTTAAAATTTTTCTGGTTAATAGTGAGGAGTAGCATCTTTATTACTTAAGTGAGTTTCCTCTTTTCTAAAGTCCCTGTTCTTTTAATAGATTGTTCACCATTTTCTACATGATTTATGGGTGTTTGTTATTGGTTCTTGATAATAATCTAGAGCAAACTGTCTTAAAAATGTCTTCGTAAGTGGATTACTTTTCAATGCTATTTATTTGTTCACTTAATTTTCAGGGTAAGTGTGCTTGCCAGAGAGAGAGAAAAAAAACTCCCAGTGGGGTTTGGTCATATCGCAATCCTTTTTCCTTCATTTCTCCATCCCATCGGGATTTTGGGCACACTTATACGCACATGCCCAGCTTGTTTTTCAAGTCACTGGAGGCTGGGATTTGAACTGTGCTTGTCCGTGTGGGACCAAACTCCCTTAACTCCTGTGCTGTAGGCTGGTCCTACTTTTATTTTTATTTGAAATTTTTCAAAGCATGTAATTGACAGCATCCATATAACTTTATCTGAAATGATGTGGGCAAATAAAATGAATTTTGATTTTGTCAACAGTGTATACTCTGGGTTACTTGTCTATCAAGTTCTTTATTAGAGTTAAAAAATAAATACAAAGCAACTTAAATAGAGATACCATTGAGGTCAGGTACTTGAAGTCACCTATCTTTTGATTAATTTTTACATTTGTAACTCTAAGGTACAATAAAACGTTGTTGCCTAAAATGTAAAATATTGAAGTTAAATACTGAAGTTTTATCTCCTAATCAGAGAGAGTAGTTCCTTTGTCTTACTGCACTTTTGATTGGGTGATTACGATTTACCTTCATATTTTCTTAACTCTAAGGATTTTTGTCATGCTGTTCCCAACACCTTTATATCTGATCCTACTAAAAGTTCATGTTACTTACAGAAATGTATTTCCAAATACACATTCCTAATGTCTGTTCTTCAATATGGTTATGGGTGGCCTTGCATTGTGTGATTTTTTTTTTCCCTGAGGCCTAGTTACCTATGTTAGCCCTTTCTTGGCTTCACCAGCTCAGATTGTTGCTGCTTTTTGAACAAAACCCTATCTATTTCCTCTCTCCCTTTTGCCTACCTTCTCTCTAATCCCTTGTGATTGTTTGGCTCAGAGGCAGGTCAGACCTCAAGGAATAGATGAACTCAATGCAGCAACAACAATAATAGAAGAATTTTGGTGACTACATTATAGGGTGTAAT